GAGAAGGAAGACAGCGATGAGGGGGAGGAGGATGACAGCGGGGAAGATGAGGAGGAGGAGGATGGAGATGGGGATGAATTTGAGGCAGCGGTGATGAAAGCAGCTGCCACCCCGGCCTCGGAGGAGGAGGAGGAAGATAAGGATGAAGAAGCAGCTATGGAGACCACACCAGCCAACGGAAAGAAAACTCCTGCAAAAGCTGCACCTGTGAAAGCCAAGACGGTGGCTGAAGATGAAGAGGATGAGGAGGAAGGTGAGGAGGAAGAAGACCCTGTCAAAGAAGTTCTTGGAAAACGAAAGCAGGAAATGACCAAACAGCAGCTCCTGAGGCCAAGAAACAGAAGGTGGAAGCCACAGAACCAACTCCATCGTCCCATGTGTTTGTTAGAAACCTGAACAATAACAGATCTATTCCTGAATTGAAAACGTATTCGTGATGTTTTTGCTAAAAAATGATCTTAGTGTTGTGGACATCAGAATCGGGACATCTAGGAAGTTTGGCTATGTTGACTTTGAATCTGCTGAAGATCCAGAAAAAGCTTTGGAACGCACCGGTTTAAAAGTCTTAGGCAATGAAATTCAACTAGAGGAACCAAAAGGAAAAGACAATAAGAAAGATCGAGGTGCAAGAACACTGGGACCAGCAGTTAGTGTAATGGCTATGTCACTGGACTCCCATGTAGTCGACCGCGGTTTGAGTCCCAGACCTGGTGGCTTAAAACTCATGTCAGGCGCGTGTGTGTTGCGTGCCCAGGATCCCAAGAGGAGAATGGAGGAGAAGGGATTGTGGTGTGGCCATCCCCCCTGGGGGATGATTTCTCACTTTCTGGCGAGCGCACGCGTCCTATAGCAAAAATCTCTCCAAAAAAAAAAAAAGAGAGAGAGAGATGCAAGAACACTTTTGGCCAAAAATCTCCCCTACAAAGTCACTCAAGATGAATTAAAAGAAGTATTTGAAGATGCCGTGGAGATCAGAATAACCAGCAAAGACGGACAAAGTGAAGGGATTGCCTGTATTGAATTTAAGACAGAAGCCGATGCAGAGAAAACCTTTGAAGAGAAGCCGGGATCAGAGACTGATGGGCGGTCCATGTCTCTATACTGCGCCGGAGAGAAACGTCAAAATCAAGACTGCAGAGGTGGAAAGAACAGCGCCGGGAGTGGGGAGTCAAAAACTCTGTCAGGCGCATGTGTACCCTCTGGTAAATTTAAGAAGGAAAATGTATATTATAAACTATGCATGGATTTCAACCTTTTCTTACACACTTTTTAGAAATGTTGCTCTAAGGTGTGTGCAGTCCCCAGAGACAGGGCAGGAGGGGGGAAAGTAAGGAATCACCTTCGAGGGAGCATAGCCATGCTGCAATCCCTTCTCCATCCTTCCTGGATTTGGGTCCCACACACACACAAACCCCCAGTGCGTGTGTATTTACTTACTTATTTTGTCTTTTTGTCATAGGGTATATGCTTGTCAGAGAGAGAGAGAGACAGTGAGAGGGAAAGTGAGAAATGAGCCCTCCCCAGAGGAAGAGTTATGACACAATATCTTCATTGTCCTCGTGGGATTTTTTTTTTTTTTTGAGAGATTTTCACTGTAGGGCGCGTGTGCTCGCCAGACAGACAGAGACAGACATAGAGACAGAAAGCGAGAAATCACCCCCCAGGGGGGATGGTCACGCTGCAATCCCTTCTCCTCCATTCTCCTCTCGGGATCTTGGGCACGCACGCACATGCGCCCGGCGTGAGTTTTAAGCCACCGGGTCCGGGACGTGAACCACGGTCGACTACAGGGGAGTCCAGCGACATAGCCATTATGCTAACTGCTGGTTCCCTGTCCTCGTGGGATTTGGGGCATGCACACACGCATGTCCAGTGTGATTTTCAAGCTGCCACATCCAGGACTTGAACCATGGTCTGCCATGTGGGAATCCAGCACCTTAACCACCGCTCCATCTGCTGGCCCTGCCCAGTGTGGTTTTTTTGTTTTGTTTTGTTTTGTTTTGTTTAGGTTTTTAAGCATATATACTTACCAGAAAGAGACAGAGAGGAAATTGAGAAATCACCCCCCCCCGGGGGGGTGGCCACGCCACATTCCCTTCTCCTATATTCTGCTCTTGAGATATTTGAGCGTACATGCACACACACCCAGCGTGATTTCCAAACCTCCAGGTCCGGGCCTCAAACTGTGGTCACCCGTGTGGAAGTCCAGCGCTTAACCATCACACCACATGCTAGCCCCTGATTGTGTTTTTTAAGCCTCTGGTCAGGGCTTAAAGCATGCAGTCAGTCATGTGCAGTCCAGCCACCTTGACCACCACACAACCTAGGTGGCCTGATTTCAACATTTTTTTGCACCACGGAATTTATATTTCAGGGTTTTTTTTTAAAGAATTATTTAATTAAATTAACTTTAAAAATTTTTTTTCTTTTTTTGGAGAGGTTTTTGCGATAGGGCGCGTGCATTCGCCAGAGAGAGACAGAAGGCGAGAAATCACCCCCCAGGGGGGATGGCCACACCGCAATCCCTTCTCCTCCATTCTCCTCTCAGGATCTTGGGCACGCACACACACATGCCCGGAGTGAGTTTAAGCCACCGGGTCTGGGACTCGAACTGCGGTTGACTATGTGGGAGTCCAGCGACATAGCCATTACGCTAACTGCTGGTCCCCAGTTTTTTTAAACATTTTTAAAATAATTATTTATTTTATTCATTCATTTTAATTTGACAGAGAAAGATACACAGAGAGAGAGAGAAAGTGGTAAAGCAAGCCACCAGGTCTGGTATCAAACTGTGGTCGGCCATGTGGGAGTGTCCAGCGCCTTAACCACCACGCTACCTGCTGGCCCCCATTAATTTTAAAAATTTAACCAAAGAGAGAAAGGGAAAGTGAGAATATAAGCCCCCAGGTCCAGGACTTGAACTACAGTTGGCCATTGGGAGTCCAGTGCTTTAACCACCAGTTCCATCTTTAACTCATTTTAATTCCATTTTTCCATGAGCTTTAAAGAAATTATTAATTTTATTCATTATTTTTTTTAAATTTGCTACAGGGCATGTATGCTTATCAGAGAAAGACAGAGAGAGAAAGTGAGGGAAACTGAGAAAGCAAGCTGCCAGGTCCGGTACTTGAACCACGGTCAGCCATGCGGGGGTCCAGCACCTTAACTACCGTGCCACCTGCTGGCCCCTTCATGAGCTTTCTGAGGTACCCTTATATACATACTCCTTTGTGTGCGTTTATGATTGTGCCTTTGTAAATTTGGAGCTCGGTCCCCTCTGGGCTCCTCAGGGGCCTTGGGGGGACGCTCCCCAACCCCTCCCCAAGAGGGTGACCCTCTGCTCTTGGCTCACATCTGCAGAAGCTTGGGAGCTCCCTCCGGGGTGCTGAGCCCAAGGCTTGACAGCGCTGGGTCCCGGGGTGCCGTGGAGAGCCTCCTTGGAAGGCTGACATTTCTGCAGGACGTTGAAAACACAGATCCTCTTCTCTGGAGAGAATTAACCTTCCTTTCCACGTGCCGCCTGGGGAGCCTCTGGTCTCGAGTGCAAATTCCGTTTCTTCGTGTTCGTACTTGCTATTTATTTTAAACCATAAAAGTAGAAACACTGTTGGGACCAGCAGTTAGTCTAATGGCTATGTCGCTGGACTCCCATGTAGCCAACCACAGTTCTAGTCCCAGACCCAGTGACTTAAACTCATGCCGAGCGTGTGCATGCCCAAGATCCTGAGAGGAGAACGGAGGAGAAGGGATTGCGTCGTGGCCATCTCCCCTGGGGGGTGATTTCTCGCTTTCTGTCTCTTTGTCTCTGGTGAGCAAACGCACCCTATAGCAAAAACCTCTCCCCCCAAAAAAAAAGTGGAAACAGTTTCCTGTGTCTGTGTATTGTGTAAAGTGGTCATTTAAGATTCGCCGGGTGCCTTCATGGTCCCTACGCATGCGCGCACACACACACACCCTGCCCTGCACCTCTTGTCTCCGTACACACACCACTGGGGCTCAGTCGTGTCACGTCCCATGTTGGCTAAGGACAGGAAGGTGTGACTCACAGGGTTTCCGTTCTCCTCTGCCTGGCCATACCCCACGCGCACTGCCCACCCCGCTCTCCGTGAGGATAGTGTGGTTTCTGACCGCCTTTTCCCGGTGTGGAGGGCAGGAGCCACCTGGGTGACGGGGTTTCCCTGGAGCCGGGAGAGGGGCCCAAGGAGCCAGTGCTTTCCGGGGCTTTGCTGCTGCCAGCCGATGTGGGTACTGATGCCCCCATGGGCGCTGGCACCAGTGGTCCCGCCCGAGTGGCCCGTCCGTCACAGGAGCGGTGTGGCAGCGTTCTGAGACCCCGTTTATTACGGGTACTCAGTCTAAGGAGATGTCTCTCCCACCCGTTTCCCATTGGCTTATTTGTGTCAGTGTGAACCCATGCACCTCAGTCCACCTGTTACAATCCAGTCCACTGCTTGTGCTCCACTGTCACCACCACCAGCTCACCCCGCCCTGGTTCTCGGGAGGGCACTTATCATCGTGTGCTCGCCACCTCCAGTGCCCACGCACCTCGGAAGCTGGAGCCACGACAGCCCAAGTGCCGGAGCTGCAGAGAAACCAGCCCTTGGCTGATGGTCCTGCTTGATGCCCTGGGCCCCTGGAGGACCGTGTGTGCCTCCTCTGCTGACACCCTGTGGTCATGGACGGCCCCACCTGTGTCTCCCCGACAGGCTCCTCGGAGGTGTTCCTGCCCCCGGACCCCATCTTCGCCTCGGCCCTGTCTGAGAATGACAACGTGTTCTGCGCCCAGCTGCAGTGCTTCCACTTCCCCACCCTGCGGCACCACGACCTCCACAGCTGGCACGCCGAGAGCTGCTACGAGAAGTCTTCGTTCCTGTGTAAACGCAGTAAGTCCCCTGGGACCCCAGTCCCGGCTCAGCGTCGGCGCTCACACGCTGTCCTCGTGGTGCAGGGCGGAATCCATCCCTCGTCTCACCGGTGGGTGCTGCTCCTCGCCGGTGCCCACCTGGCTGTCGGGGTGGGAGCCCGGCTGCCCCTGTGGCCTGGTCGGCGTCTCTGAGCCCATAGTCCTCTCTCCCTGCCCTGTCCACTTCAGGGAGTGGTGGCCCTGATACCCTTCGGCCCCATGGAGTCCCTGGAGCATCGGGGCCCCTTGACCACCTCCCCTGCTCCGCGGGGCTTTCTGGGCCTTTGAAGCTTAGCCTGTCTGGAGTGTTCCCCATTCCAGTCTGTGGTGTCACAAGTCTTTCCCTGTCTCCTTGCTCCTCGTCTCAAGTTCCCACGAGGCTGGCTGAGCTCTAGGGGCTCTTGGCGTAGATGCACGACTGAGGGAGGACGCCCACCTCCACCCACCTTCCTCTGAATCGGCCCACAGCCGCCACGCGGAAGTCCAGCCTCAGCTACGGCCTCACTTGGGCCTTCGCTCTTCCCTGCCAATAAGTCACATGCGCCCGAGTCTTCCCAGACCACCCTGGCCCGGACTGTCCACCCTGTTAGTGGCGCGCCTCATCCGGGCAGGAGCGGCGTGCTG